GCTCGCTAGATGGGCATTTTGCGGGTTGGGGACTCCACTGTTGTGTGCGTTCCAGTTTTTTTCTGCGCTACAGTCTCTCCATGGGGTTGGCAACGCGGAGATGCTATCGAGCCCCATCTGCGAGGCATTTGTCTCATGAGGCTCAACGACTAAGTGGGACCGCTCGGAGAAGAACGTCCATGCGTTGCTGTTAGTGCATGCTTATGCACGTGGTGATTGGACACAGACACGCACCATCCGATGTTTGCCGGCTATACTCTCGGGGAGAATATGCAGGCTACTGAGTCGCCGAGGAAGAGCCAGCCCATCACGGCAGCGTTCCGATGAAAATTTGCGGATACTGGGGTGTAGCGTACGGGGCGATGCGTTAGCAGTAGAATCTACCCCAACACCCCGGCTTATACGCCGCGCTCAACCAACGCCAGCATGGGACTACCGAATGGGCTACCGACTGCTATTGCAGTCTGGATGGCACCAGCCCCATGTCGCGACCTATACCATGGAGATGGGTATCTGGGGACGCGGAGAGCGGATATATAGAGTGCGCTGTATCCCTTCACTGAAACAGCATCAGCATCTCGCTCTTCGTCTCTCACTATCTGGGATTTGCCTCTACAGACATATCATCTGTTGATCCTTGGGCTCATATCTTCCTTCGTTCCCAATCTTCATCTTTACCCTACCATCACCATGGGTTTCTTTGGAAACAACGGCTCGCAAGAGCCTACTCTGGACCAAGTCCACGAGCAGCAAGCTCGCCGCCCTTCAGTCGCTGAAGTCGTCGACGAACAGGTTCGCCGCAAGTCTGTCGACAACCGTGTCGTCACTGGAGCTTCCGCTCTCACGGTCCGCCAATCTATCGTTCCCGTCACCTTGGTCACTATCCTCTTCTTCATGTGGGGATTCGCCTACGGTCTTCTCGATGTCCTCAACTCTCGCTTCCAGGTCGCTCTTGACATCACTCGTGGAGAGTCGTCTGGTCTCCAGGCTGCTTACTTCGGTGCTTACTTCATCGGTCCTTTGACATACTCTGGATGGTTCCTCCGCAAGTTCGGTTACCGATACACCTTCATTCTCGGTCTCTCTATCTACTGCGTCGGTGCTCTCATGTTCTGGCCTGCGGCTGTCAAGCGAAGCTTCGGTGGCTTCTGTGGTGCCATGTTCCTTGCTGGATCTGGTCTGTCGACTCTCGAGACTTCTGCCAACCCTTACATTGCTGTTTGCGGTCCTCCCAAGTACTCCGAGTTCCGTCTCGAGCTGTCTCAGTCCGTTCAGGCTGTTGGCTCTGTCGTTGCTCCCGTCCTTGCTGCTCAGGTCATCTTCAAGAACGTCGGTACCGACGGCAAGTCTCTCGAGGCTGTTCAATGGGTCTACCTTGGTATTGCTGGCTTCGTCGGTATCCTCGCTGTTGTCTTCTACTTCGCTCCCATTCCTGAGATTACCGACTCCGACATGGCCGACCAAGCTGAGATGACCACCGCTGCTACTGGCTACGTCGACAAGCCTCTCCGCAAGCAGTACACTCTCTTCTGGGGTACCGCTGCTCAGTTCTCCTACGTCGCTGGACAAGTAGGAGTGGCCGCATATTTTATTAACTATTTTGTACGTTTAATCAGTATACAGACGATGTGAAACATTTACTGACTTCAAATCTATAGGCTGAGGCGCGCCCTGACCTTTCCGTCACTGAAGGCCACCACGAGGGAGCCAACTTCTACGCCATCGCCCAAGCCCTTTTCGCAGTCGGACGTTTCGCAGCAGCCGGACTCATGTACTACGGCGGCAAGCCCCGTTACGTCCTCCTCGCTTTCCAGACCCTGATCATGATCTTCATCAGCGCTGCGATCGGCACCAACACTGGCAGCGCCACCCGTCCCAACTGGGGAGGTCTCAGCATGCTGATGATCGTCCTCTTCTTCGAGTCCTGCATCTTCCCCATCATCTTCGCCCTTACACTCCGCGGTCTCGGTCGCCACACCAAGCGCGGTGCTTCTTTCCTCGTCTCCTCCGTCTGCGGTGGTGCCGTTGGCCCCGTCATTCTCGGCAACGTTGCTGACCGCATCGGCACACGAAAGGCCATGTGCATCCCGCTCATCTTCTTCGCGATTGCCTGGTCTTACCCCATCTACCTCAACATGGTCAAGGGCGCCGAGCTTGATGCTTACAGCGAGAGCCATGTCGGTACCACTGACGGTGCTATCGACAACGACTCTGTGCTTGCTGGCAAGGACGTTGAGGCTCGCATGTTCGAGACCAAGGTCTAAACGTGTGTGCTTTGGTACTATTGGGTGGGATTACTTTTGGATTAGATGATACCTATGAGGCTTGAACGATGATAGCGCGGCGTTTATGATGGGATGATCGGATTTCGCTTGGTCGGGCGGAGTCTTGTATATACTACGACTTCTTTGTGCATATATAGACTTGCATACTGTTTACACGAATCACTATATTTTACCACTTATCTTCTCCTCGTTATATCCCACGCGCGAGATCTCCTCGATTGCCTACATCGAATGTTGAGAGTTTGACGGGTGCATCTTAATTCCTTCCAAAGACCACATGACACGGTTTCGACTTCCTTGCCCTTCGTTCGAAGCAGCGTGCATATACATAATCTCGTTGAATCAACCAAAGGCCGCTGTAAACATATTCCCGCCTCGTACATGACAGTCGTGAGCCACCTCACGCATCCGGTCCCTCCTCATCCCTTTCCACCACCACCTCGAAGTTCGCATCATCCACCAGCTTCCAAAAGTCCGCATTCATCTGTTTGGCCTTCAACTTCTCAAGACACAACCCCGTGACTGTAGGCCCCATCAAGATCTCTACACACTGCAATCTCGGCCAATGGTTCTCGGCCTTCTGCGCGCCGAAGAGATCTTGCAGCCACCTGCTTTCCAAGAATGCCAAGTCAACGTCGAAAATCTTGAGGTGCTGCAAAGAGATCGGCAGAGCTTGCGTCGGTGAAAGCTCGAAGTCGCCTTCAAAGACGGCGTCGAAACGCATGTTGTCGAGCTTGATCGATATGAGCGCTGCTTGAGGAATGACCAGTTTCTTGAGTTGCGCAAATTGGTCGAATCGCGGTAAAGGTTTGCGCATCGCGCCTGGCAATGTCCAGAAGCCGCCTGGTAGCTTCAGGGTTTCGAGGTTTGGTCGCAGATGTATCATGCCGTCCACCAGGTTCTGGTAGTCGGTGACTTCGCTTCGCGCATCGTATATCGTTCGATCCCAGTGCTGCTCATCTACGTAGACATCATCCTCAAGAGGAGACGGCCCGGTAGGATAGTATTGGATGTTTGCCTGATAGGCAGGAAACGCGCGGACACTCCGATACGGGTTCTTACTGTCCGACGGTTCCGCGTAGTATTCGAGTGATTGAATATTGGGAAAGGCGCGGAGAACGTTCGTCATACACGCTCGAGAAGTGGTATTCCATACGCCGACGGTTCTGACCTCGAAGTCTAGACGGAGATGTCGGATCGTTGGCTGTGCACGATGGCTGCTGAGGTAGTGCTCGGATGCCATGCGAATTTGCGAGTGTATTTGGCCTTGAAGTCTGATGCTCAGGTCGAGGGTGTGCAGATTGGGATAGTGCTCCAAGCCACCCCCTAATAGCGGCGGTAAGGGACTTTCGTACTTCAAATAAGATAGCACATGTGCGGTCGGTAGCCTTGAAGCAAACTCTTGTGTTGAAGCAAACTTCTGCCAACGGCGCGTGTCTTGGAAATGCGCCTCAGCGAGGGTAAGATTTGAGTATGGGTCGAATATGCACAAGGTCGCAATATTTGGTAGCAGAGCCAAGAACACGGAAGCTGAAGCATGTGCGAAGGTGCCCTTCAGTTCTGTAATCTTCCCTGTTTTCCACCAAGCAGGTAGGTCGAGGGAAGCGACGATATCACGCGCCTTCTCGTAGACGAGGTAGTTCACATGAGGCTCTACTGGACCTGGACCACTAAACTTCATGATACCACGATCTTCCGACGGTAGGCATAACCTCAGCTGCTTTATATGTCGTTTCCATTCCGGTCGTGCTTGCAATCTCCAGATCAGGCCGTAGATGTCCGAATTGGAAAGCTCATTCAATGTTCCTGGGAAGCCGACCTCGAGCACGAGCGAAGAGAGCAGTACTTCGCGAGCCAGAACCGTGAACCTCTTACACGCCAACGCAATGTTGAGCAGCGAGCGAGAATTAGCGCGAAAATCGGAAATGAGATACTCGTCTGGAGAGCTTGGAGGGGGGTCATCTGGAATGTAGCCCAATACGCGAATGGAGCGATACAAATCGACATGCGAAAAGACCTGGAGTAGTATTTCGTTGGGCAGAGTACTCAGCGAGCTGGTGCTGTCGCCTGGAGAGCATTAGATGATGACGTATGTAACGCGGATGTTTGGCACGCTCACTTCTGGATGTTTGAAGCAGCGGCAGCCCTTCCATTGTTCAGAGCCGTTCTCTAGATGTACCAATTTGATGAAGTACAGGGTGATTGAGATAGCCTGGATTGCAATGCTGCAGGTGCTCGCTGTGCGGCACAGCGCATGCCATTAACGCTAGTCCCAATTTAGCATGGCGGTTTTCCACGGCTCGGCGGGCCGCATCCATCTGGCCTTCCATCATCCAGGCGCGCGATATCGAATTACCACTAGGAGTACAACACTTCAGTCTGCATCACTTAGCAATGGACGGGGCGGAGAACCGGATGCGCTTAGAAAACTCTGCACCCCAAGATGCCGGGGGCTGGAATTTGCTTTTGTCGATGCGTGCCTCAGACAGCGATTTGTCGCGATCGCGACGCGACGCGTGGCGGGGAAGGACCCAGCAATATCTTCGCGCACCGCCAGAAAGCTGTGTCGACCCATTTACGATCTATGGTAGCGAAGACAACACACCCAGAATATCTCCCCCGAAGTTCCACTTAGTAGAAACGGATAGGCTGCATACTCAGATACCCATGTACTGAGGTCAGTTCGGTTGGAATAGACGCAGTTACACAACTACAATGGCGGCCAACAACCTACGAAGCGTTTACCAGCAATACAAGCACGATACGGATGTCGTGGCATCATGGCGTAAGTTGCGGCCAGACTTACGAGAGATGCACGCGCTAATCTCTCTTTTCTGTAGTCGCGTCTACAGCCAAGTCATTTGGCTACAACAAGCCCCTCGAACCGCCTGCTCCTACGGAACAGAAGACGCAAAGACTCAAAGGCAAAGCCAGAAAAGCCGGCAATACTACGCAGATTGGATCAAACAAGCAGACGTCCAAGCCGAAATACACCCTTGCTATCAAGGACTTCGTACCTTTGTCTGCTCACATTGCTAAGGTCAAAGGCACTGTAGAAGTGCCGGACTACTTCAACGTTGCACTTGATCGAGTGATATCGGTTCGAAGTGCTTTCTCGCATAAGCTGGCAGCTGCCGGCGAAGCTGTCGACAAATCGTCAGATGACCGTCACAGCTTTTTTGTCACTGTCCTAGAAAGTGTTCGCGATGCACTCAAGCCTTTGATGAGAAACGATGCTCTCGATCTCAACAGCATCAAGAATGCTACGCCTCGGAGTGATAAAGACCGAGTCAGACAGACTGGACTTCGCAACATCTTCGAGGTTTTGGATGTATATGAGCCATCGGCGGAGTTCTTGGCTGCACCAGACGTGGTACCTCCGCCTAAACCTATGAAACTGGATTACACTGCTGAGGTGTTGACCGACTCCGTCATTGATGCCTTTATGGCAATGACCATGTTGATGGACGACCTCTCCCGCCTTCGTGCTGAGATTGCAGACCTATGGGGTCGGCACCATGCGGGAGAACTCGATTTGGCAACTGTGTCGGTAGCGACCAACACAGCAATTCAGCTTGCGCACAGCATGCACGACGAAGTCTATCCAGTGATGAAGCATCTCGTCGAAAGCGTGCCGTTCCATGAGGTGTACTTTCTGGCTATAGCTAAAGAAGCTGGTGTTGACCCACAAGCGAAAGGTTGGTTCGGCTGGTGGAACGACTACAACTTCGAAGCCTACGACATCGCAGACGCCCTGTTCAACAACGCCCGTAATGGCCTCCTGGTCTACCTTTACAACGATCTCTCCGCGTCCGGGTCAGTCATGGACTACAATGGCAAATGGGGTCGATTCGATGAAAATGAGGGTCCACCACCCAGAACGAACAAGCAAAAGTATGCCCGCGATAAGTCGACGTTGATGGAAGTGTTCCAAAATCTTCCCTTGCTACACAATCATCCGGGAGCGGTTGAGGATCAGTTTGTCATCGCTTTCGAGGCAGCGCGGAAATCCTATGCAAGGGAGAATACGAACAAGCAACCACCAATCTGGTCGTGCTTTGCATTCCAGATATATCTCGACATCATTTACTGTACCGAGGTTGGTGCGGGCTGGACGCAGATGCGCAACGAGTTTACTACGCTCCAGAAATACGTTGAGACATACCCTAGAGCTTCTTCCGACATGAAGGAGTTGGTAAAATCGGTCGATAAGATCATGGAGGTCGATCCCATCGCGATCATCCGATCGGCGTTTACTTTTCCCTACAAGGACTATACCGTATGGCGTCGCAACCCCACACATTGTGGTCTTTGGTAGGTCCTGACTGTACGAAATGCATGTGAGACATAGACTGACCTTGTGCCTTTATCTCTGCAGAATTCACTATGCGCGAAACGTCTTCCATAGAGAAGCTGTCAAGTACGCCGCAACACCCGGGGCGGTCATGTGCGTAACGCAATTATACCATGCCCTGCGCCAGACTGAGCTTCTTTCGGAAGAGTGGAAGGATCTTCAGACGCTGTGGGACATGTAGGGAAACTTGGCCTACTTCATTGGCGAACCCCCCAAAGACTTTGAGGGACATTGGAAGAACTTTCTCATGGCTATTGGTGCTTCAGCAACTAACTGGGCAAGCTCAAAGAGGAATACGAAGGTCAAGGAGACCAAAGCAAACGCACGTTTGTTGAAGTTCAAGGGTCCAGTATCGGCCTGGATGGCTTCGCGTATTTCAACAAATGGCGACGAACGACTCATCACAGCTGAAACAATTGAAGACGAGATCAAAGAAGGCGCACGCCATCATTCCTCCCTCGCCGCCGTCATGCCGGCCATTCAAAGGCAAACCCACGTCATACAAAAATTGGCCACTGCTCTCCACGCCGAGGCTCCAGAAATCACGTTCGATTACTTCACCATGCATGACCTTTGCTGGGAATTGATGGAAAGGATGAAGGAGCAGTTCAGTCCTATCATTGCTGCCAAATCTGGGAAGCAGTGGGAAGCACATAAGAGCAACCTGCCGTTTGTTGTTGGCTTCGTCTTCTCTACGGCAGCGGGTAAAAAAGATATCGAGACGGACGGTGTGCCTTCGGTAGAGCTGTTAAAGATCGCTGTGCAAGTTACGAAAAAGTTCTTGGAGGAAGGTAAAGGTAATGTGATTACCGAGAGAGGACGCCTGGAAGGTCAGTTCGAGTCAGCTGGGACAGAAGAAGTGGAAGTGTGGAAAGCCAAAGTGAGAGATTCTCTCACCTCGAAAGTCTTCGCGGTTTAAAGTACGTAGAACACCGCTCGCCTTCGTATGGCCTTTTCCTTCAATCGTTTCTTATCGCTACTGAACTATCCATTGCTTTCCATGACACCTTCTCAAAGATCACCAACTCAGAAGATATGACGCCAGCTCCGCCTACAACTCCCCATGCCTGCTTCGTCTGCAAACAGCCTGCTGAACAACGCTGTTCCACCTGTAGTAATGCACGCTACTGCTCTACCGCCTGTCAAAAGAAAGACTGGAAGATGCACAAGATGCTTTGCAAGTCCTTCGCAGATCTCGAGCCACGACCTGGTGCAACCTTCTTTCGCGGTCTCCTCTTCCCCGGAGATGAGCCTTTGCCGCGTTTCGTCTGGGTCGAATACGGCAACGTCAAGGACTTCGTATCAATATCCTGCGAGCCTTTCCTCGGTCGCAACATGTTGAATCACATATCACACACCTGGCCCACCCTCAAGCGCATACCCTCGCACCGGGTCGGTATCTACTATCATGACAACTACATGAACGAGAACCTGCCCACCACTCCGAGTTTGACCAAATGGCTGGGCCCAGCTGCAGGCAACTACTTCCGTGGACCTTTTCTAACCCACGGCTACGAGAATGGCATTGAGCTTGACGATGAGTTCAAGTCTGGTGAGGGAGGGCCCTGCGATCTTGACACGTCGGCTTTGGCTACTCTGTTGGCGTTCTTCCAGGCGCAAGGTACCGTTTATCTTGATAGGAAGAGGTTCGGCAAAGGATTCTCCCATTCAAATATCATCGAGGTGCGCTCCGATGCGGACTGAGAGTCGGTCGCTCCGGGAGAAGGGCCGAACGTGGTGGAGCTATCGGGCTTGTCGACACCTGGGGCAACATGGCCTTGCAAGTGCGTGGCGGCCTGTCGCATGGATACCCTTCCCGGTATTTCATCTTACTCATTTCACGAAATAGTTTTCTGGTCTCGAGAATGCGCATTGTGGTTACTGGCGTAACGTGGGGCAGGCAATGCCGTCACTGCTTGATGTTAGCACCTGCTGCATTGAGCCAAGCCCCGCACTATCTGCATAGGGCGTGCCGGCGGCTATCATAGGTATACAACATCTTAGCAAAAGTCCTGAAATCCTCAATACTGTATCTTCAATTCACGTCGCTCTTGATAATCCGACATTAGCATCATGACGTTCGATATCTCCAAAGCTCGGGAGCGCTTCCCCGCACTTCAGCAAGATCAGGTCTTCCTCGACAATGCCGGCGGCAGTCAGGCATTGGGTGATGCGATTGACTCGTCAGTTGATTTTCATATCGTGGATACATACAAAAACTGACATGAGCCTAGGATAGTGCAATACCTCTCCAAGACCAATGTTCAGCTCGGCGCTTCATACCATACTGGCACCCAGTCGAATACGAAGTACGAGGAGGGCTACCAGGCAGCTGCAAAGTACATGAATGCTGGGCGCGATGAGATTGGTAACGTAGCCTCCAGCTCATTCACACTCCTTTGCTAACGACCACCAGTTCTTGGTGCTTCAACAACCCAGCTCTTTATGAACCTCGGCTCATCCCTGCAATTTCCTTCCGGCTCTGAGATCATCCTCTCAAAGATGGAGCACGAGACTAACGCGAAGCCCTGGCTTTTTATGGCTGAGCGTCTTGGTTTGACTGTGAAGTGGTGGGCGTCTCCAAAGGAGGATGGACTCAAACTCACAGCCGAGAATCTCAAGCCGCTGTTGAGCGACAAAGTGAAGTTCGTAGCGTGCACGCACGTGAGCAACATTCTGGGGACGATTCATGATGTGAAGTCTATTGCAGAGGCGGTGCATGCGGTTGGCGCGCTGTTCTGTGTGGATGGCGTTAGCTACGCGCCGCATCGTGCGATTGATGTGAAGGATTTTGGAGTCGATTTCTACGCATTCAGTTGGTACAAGGTTCGTCTGGCATCAGCTCTGCTTTCTTGTTAACATAGTACTAACGAAATGACACAGGTCTACGGCCCACATATCGCGGTCAGTCAACATATACCTTTTCGAGCTGTATCGAAGCGAATGCTGACTTCGTACACACATCTTTAGGCCCTCTACGCCAGCAACTCAGCCCAACAGCACATGAAACCTTTGGCTCACTTCTTTAACCCCACCAAGACCCTCGAAGATAAGATCGGGTTCGCAGGCTCAAACTACGAATGCGTACAATCTATTCCAACGGTCACCGCCTACCTCACCGACGCTTTCCCCGCCATCACCGAGCATGAGGGAAAGCTGCAGGCTATTCTTCTCGACTTCCTAAACTCACGACCAGATGTCACGATCTTGGGATCTACTTCGAGGGATAGCAAAGAAAGAGTACCTACCATTTCATTCACGGTCAGGGGCATGAGCAGCAAGGCGATCGTGGCTGAGGCGGAGAAGATCAGTAACTACGGGTTCAGATGGGGCCATTTCTACTCAAAGAGGCTTTGCGATGAGTTGCTGAAACTGGAGCCGGAGGGTGTGACAAGAGTCAGTATGGTACATTATAACACTGAGGAGGAGATCAAGGGATTGGTCGAGGTGTTGAAGAAGGTCCTCCCGCAGGTTTAGAGGAAGACGCGACGTCGATGCCGAGGTCTGTAGTAATTGAGTATACATTTATACATTTCATATTAGTCAAAGTATGACATGACTGCTATGGTAAGCCCCTCCCAAATAGCCACCAAGAACCACGACCATGACGGAAAGCAATCCGAGAGGAACCCATCGCCAGTGAAAGGCCTTCTAGACTACTTCTTCCAGCCACTGCTCATGAGCTCTCCAGTAGTTAAGTGGCGTCTTGAACCACATCAACTTTCCAGATCTTAGGAGAGAGGCGTCTTTCATATAAGGCAGGACTACTGAGAACGGCTCGCATGCGAGCAGTGCAATCTGCTGTTACCGAGATTCGAAGCATGCCGGGAACAGAAGAGGGACACGCGGCTGAAATTTCGATCAAGGTTCTGATGAGGGAAGACCAGTCATCGCCGTGGTGAGCCAAGAAGAGATTGCTGTCGTTCAATATGAGGTGCATAACAAACGTTCCTTGTCGCAGAGAAAGTATTGCCCGCTTCATGAACTCGAATGTGACCGCCTTGTTGTCGCGGTGTGTCGGAGCATCTTCCCAGTCATTGATGAACTGCCACTCGATCCACTGATTGAGACTAAGCAGAGTCGATCGATGCATTTCGCCAGAACTGCAACTGTGTAGTTTATCTTCCTGCTGAGCTACCCCAAACCAGTACATGAGATCATCTAACAGATCTTGGGTCCGATTTAGGTGCTGTGACAAATCGGCTGGGCTGCTGTTCGCAGAAACGTTGACGGTAATTGATGGATATATCTCCGAACAACCACGCTCTATGATAGAGTAGGCTTCCTCGCGAACTAGTCGACTGACTCTCAGTATGCCCACAGAAGGCTTTGTATGGTATATGTGCAGGCGAGGTCCGGCAAGTAATCGAGTTACGGGCATGGCCACCAGCTGATCATAGACGCAAAGACGTATATCGGCAGGTAATCGCATAAACGGAAAGGTGTTGGATCCAGTATTGCTGGTGACTGAGCCCTTCATATGGTCATGCGCAGCATACGACTGCTTGTAGGTGTCGTCGGGTGAGGGTGAAGTTATTTGGTGAGTGTTCTTTTCTTTCAATGGGTGCGTAGACGAGCAGTAGTGGGCATCGCCGGTCTCGTCGCAAACCTCCCAATAGTTAGCAATGCAAGAACCCAGTTAACATTCTTAAAACATACCATATTAAGGAGATTTTCGTTCGTAACAGAAGGCTGATCTGCATCGGTACCTGGAGTAGCAGGGTCCGTTGGCAACTCTATCTCAGTGAGTGGCATGGTTGTTGCTTTGGCGGTCATTGCGGTGTTGGTGAGTCGGTCGTGGTATAGCGTCGGTGATGAGGAAGGGCGGGCGCGCGAGTCTGTGAGGACTAGCGCCGTTGTAAACTTCGCCATTTCCGCGTTCACCTTTACCTAAGTATAATCGCAGTAGCGCACAGACTCAATTACACGAGCGCGAGCGTCGATGTAAGAGACATTAATGCATGCATAACAAAGGTACACTGCGAAAAAAACAGTCATCTTACTAATCATAAACTGCCGCCAACTCTACGCTTTCAGGTTTCGCCAAACAGCCGTCTCAAATCTTGCGACAAGATCGAACGTCTTGCGATCTGCCCAGGGCGACACCTGCGTGGCAAAGAATAGCGCGATTCCCCTCTCACGATTGACACTCCACTGTAGATTCGGAAGTCCTGACCAGCATAACGTACCCTTTGGCTTGAAGTAGTTCTCTCGATCCACATTTTCCATCAACAAGAGGCTACCTAGTCCGAAGTTCGGCTTGACGCCTTCCATACTGGCGTCCAAAGTGCAGGTATAAGCGAGCTCGGCCTTATCGACGAGTGCCTTGGCCGCGAGACTGTCTTCGGCGAACTGCGGGCTGAACATGGCGTCGACCATGGTTTTGGAGAGGATGGTAGGCGAGGGTTTGAGAAGATCGGCAAGCACGCGCGTGTAGTCGTACACATTAGCATACAAGCCCGCTCCACCACCTTCTCCGACAGGGTCGCCAGACCAAAAGGGTGTTGGGCCATCTGTGAGACTGCCGTCGTCTTGCCGGGTGCTCGTGCGCATCAGCTTTTCTTCCACTGCTGGCTTGCGATTGAGATGCCAGGTAAATGAAGTTATACCGAGAGGCTTTGCAATGTTGGTTTCGACGTATTCTTCGAAGCTCATGTTGGTCAAACGCGTGATGAGCAGACTGGTCCAATCGAAACCACTGCTGTATTCCCAACCTTGTCCAGCTTCGAAGGTCCGTGGATAGGCATACTTCTCAGCCACGTTACCATCGGTTATCAGAGTGGGTAGTTCGCCGCGTGAGGCTCGCCACGCATAAAGACTTGGAGAAGCCCAGTCTACAAGTTGGCGAAATCAGTCTATGCTGTGTGCTGTCCGTCTAGAAGCACTTACCGTACGTCGTGCCACTGGAATGCGTGATGAGTTGACGCAGAGTGATGGACTTCGTGGCTGGACGCACTTTGATCTCGGAGCCGTCCATCTGAACGATGGGCTGGGAAGCCAGTTCTGGTAGGTACTGATCGACTGGTTCATCTAGCGTGACTAAACCGTGTTGAACGCTTTGCAGGGCAGCAATAGCGGTGATGAGCTTTGTGCAGGATGCAATGAAGAAGGTTCGATCGAAGTCCATAGGCTCCGCATCTTCAGTGACGCCATTGTAACCTGCGGTCTTCTTGTAGATGAATTTGCCTGCAGCGAGCGTGAGATACATTTACTTGGAGATAGTATGGGGAAAGTACCATCCTTATCCACGACAGCCATCACCGCTCCGGGCACAATGTCCGAGCCTTTGGCAGTCGCCTTCTCGAGGTATTTCTCAAATGCGTCCATTGAAATGGAGTAGAAGCAAACAATCTTGATCGAGTGGCCGCTACAGTAATCTTCGAGGTATGCGAGTTGTTGTGTGGGCGTTTGGTCCTGACAAGATGACGACAACTATTTATGCAGTTGCTATTAGGCCACCATCCTTCGCTGACTAGCATTCATACCGCATTCCAAGCCACAAGACAAGGTAGCCGTGATTTATAATGAGCGTTAGCAAATCTTCATGTAGTTGAAGGGTGGGGGCGAAGGCTTATGTTCGATCGCCGTGCAGCGAAAAAGCATCGAAGCCATTGGTCTCGTGAAGCCAGCCAACTCTGCCTGTAGTGTCCGTTCTCGTACCATATCGAGTCTACCGTGGCGATCACGGGCAAGAGGGGTTCGCCGCCAGGCAATACGTGAAAACCGAACCGATCAAGTCCTTTCATTAGTCGTCTGCCTCGTCTTCCAGAGAGTCCTGTCTGCTCTTGGCATGTGCCATGTGCATCCCGTATCTGCACTCCATGTTTATACAAATTGCCAAATCGGGGAAGCAGTCTATGGGTATGTGCAGACAAGCAATGTCGCTCTTCGCTCACACCGATCATGTCCATCTGTGTGACGATCCAAGTGAACCTTGGAAGTGCAGGGCGAAGATGACATACATACCTAGGTACGGGTTAAGGCGATCGGAGAAAAGTTATGCCGACTCTGGGAACGGACTCTAGTTGGAAAGCTGTCATTGCACGAACAACAACAATTTTGACGTCATCCTGAGGGGTCGCATTGTTGGAAGCACACCAGCCGGACTAGATTGGAGCAGGTAGACGTCTGCGCTATGTTCGTCGCCGCAGCGAGGCTGGTGCAGGGTCTAAAGGAACGTGTCTGGAAGCTCGGACGAAACACGGTTGACGCTCGGGCCCTCTTGTTTTGACATCTACCCCTGCATCCTCTATCTCACACTCGATGTCATCTCCCCTCGCATCTCATCTTATGTATACGACATTCTCGCAAATCTTCACGCTCGGTAAAACTCACGACACCACGGATAGCCACCGGCAATGACGACGTCGATCACTCAGCCTGTGTCCAGTCGGAAGAACTCAAGCCGAGCTGCACCAATGGGGAAGAGCGTTGCGAAGCCGGTCCGACGACCCCAAACTTGGTGCGGTGATTACCCCGGGTTTTCAATGTAAATACGGCGTCTTGAGCGGTAGCGCACTTCCTGAGAGGGCTATGTGGGGTAATTGATGAACATGTTACAGTAGACAAGGTTCTCCAGAGATGACATGCGCCACTCGAAATAGCGCAATGCCCATTGCTGGTATAAATGCTCCAGGGCATCGTCGCTCGATTTACAAGCACATTCATTGCATACGCCAGCCACCATGCGCTTCTCTTCAGCTATTGCGCTCGCCAGCTTATTGTCTCGGTCGGCCGTGGGAAGCCCACTCGCCAGCAACGAGCTTACCAGTCGGGCTACAACGTTCAACAATCCAGTCTTGTGGCAAGACTATCCCGACCTCGACGTCTTCCGGATAGGCGATGTCTTCTACTACTCCTCCTCGACTTTCGCCTTTTCGCCAGGAGCTCCGGTCCTAAAGTCTTACGACCTCGTTAATTGGACACCAGTGACTCATAGCGTACCAAGACTCAACTTCGGCTCGATATACGACCTCGATAACACAGCAGGCCATGCTTACGTCAAGGGTATCTGGGCCAGCTCACTGAGATACCGAGAATCGTCCGACAAATTCATATGGATTGGTTGTGTTCAATCCACCGGCAAGTCGTACATCTGGACTGCCGACGGGACCAATGCAGCCGCCAACAACGGCGAAGTATCGAGCTGGAACTGGACTGCTGCGGGCTCGTTCCCAAAGTGCTATTACGATAACGGAATTTTCATTGACGATGATGACACCATGTACATCGTGTACGACAAGTACCAGCTCAAGGTTGCCCAATTGAACGCCGACGGCACAGCGGAAGTCAGGAGTCAACAAGTCTATGAAGATCCAAATGGTCTATACCTCGAAGGTTCGCGCATGTACAAGATCAATGGCACATACTACATCTTCGCTACCAAGCCGGCGGATGACGAGTGGGTGTTGAAGTCAAAGAGTCCCTGGGGCCCATACGAGGCGCGAATCCTTGTCGACAGCATTGCAGGACCTTTG